TTTTTGAACGTCAGTACGTAAAAAAAATTCTCAAATCTTTTTCTTATTTTTTTTATTGCTAGTCCGAAGAGAACCATAATGAGGTGTCAATAGGTGTCTTGATTTATCTATCCCCATGCTACGGCAATATAGATTATGCATAAACTAGAGACGAAGGCACTTTCGTCTTAGTTATAAAGGTTTCCATCCGAGCTGGAGCTTTAATTGATAAATACTATATTGTGAAAATTATAGTTATTTAGCACATATCTCGCAGCCTGATTCTGAATTCTTTCGATTTGGTTTATAAATATTTGGTTGTGCACGGATCCCAAATAATACAGGCATAGTCCAGAAGTGGGAGAACGTAAAAAAAGTAAAGGGCTTCTTTTAAAAAGCTGAAAATTTTCTGAAGTTACGACGCAAAAAATGCAGTCGCTCGCTCGCTCGCTTGCTCACCTTTCTCCCTCCCTCCCTCCCTCACCAGAATTGGGAGGACGTAATAAAAGTAGAGGTTCTTTTTTAAGTGGGTTAAACATTTTCTGAACTTGCGACGCAAAAAATACAGTCGCTCGCTCGCTTGCTCACCTCCCTCCCTCCCTAACTCACTCATTCCCTCACCCACCCACCCACCCAATCGCTCGCTCGCTCCCTCCCTCCCTCCCTCCCTCCCTCCCTCCCTCCCTCCCTCCCTCCCTCACTCACTCACTCACTCACTCACTCACGCACGCACGCACGCACGCACGCAGGTACGCACGCAGGTATGCACGTAGGTATGCACGCAATCATGCATGCATGCATGTGCATACTCAGCTTGTTCGCAATCCATTCTGAGCGTCTCCGATCGAGCTAATCAGATAGGGTTAAGATATGCTAACATTTTTATTGTTGTGCTTGTTGGTTTGGGATTGCTGCTTGGACGGTCTTTCTTCAACACCTCCCAAGTGAGCGCTTGTGTCGTCTACTTCTTCCAGCTGGTTCGTCGAAGTTTCTTGCACACTGTTTTCATATCCCTTCGGGCACACACATTGCAATAAATGTGTTTGTGGAGACGACTGTTGTTATTCAAACGGCTGACGACGTAAGAACGTCCTCGGGACGTGTAACATAAAATATACGTAATATATATTCAAAAATAAACAATATACGGGAACAATCTGTTGAAATATCAAAACTGTTCTGTTCAATTAAAGTACAGATATTTATTTATTTATTTGCTTTACCATCAAGGCCCGAAGGCATTACAGAGGGGGAGAGCAAGGTTGGAATTGGTTTAAAACAATGCAATGTATAGTTATTCACACAAAAAAAAAAATGGTTAGGGCAGGTTTAAAAAGTAGAGAGTCAGTGATGGATGCAATTGGTCCGGGAAGACGTGGTTCCAGTCGAGGGATGTTCGAGGAAGGAAAGAAGAATGGAATGTAGATGTGATAGCGATAGGTACCTCAACTTTGTGCTGATATAAAAGGGGCCGGTGAATCATTTTTCGCGAAGCACAGAGTTTTAAAAATAAATTTTGTGAAACAAAGAGAGGCGTGAATGCTTCCGTCGCAGAAAGAGGGGCGGGAGGGACGGTAACCGGACAAAAGCTCACCGGACAAAAGCTCACCTGTTTTTTCACTGACCCGGACAAAAACTCACCTCATTTTTTTTTTGCTACCCCGAGTGAAGCACGGGCTGAGATAAAGTACGGACGCGATGGACATTTCACCATTTTTATGAGAACTGGCATCCCATCCCATGCAAAGGTGTCGACAGATAAGCCATTACAGGCAGAGAAGCAACGATTTGGGACCAACATTTAGGTCACTGAAACTGAATGGAGCTGATAAGATCAAGCTTGCTTGACTCAAGGTATGTCGGAGCACCCGTGTGCCACGCCCAAGAAACTTCGTGAACCGAAGTTTTTGAACCCGAAGAGTGACCGGAGAACCGAAGTCACCCTTTCTTGACCTCGCTTTTTCATTGCGCTTATGTCACGCTAAACGCGCACATAAAGATTAGGCACAATGTCTCTTCATTACGAATGCATGGGTTTAATTTAATTTATTGTTGTATTTTAGTGTCGTACGCATGCACCTAAGTTGTCTGCACACGTGTTAAGACCGACATGAAATTTTCTCCTGGTGAGCTTTTGTCCGGGTCTGTGAAAAAATGGGTGAGCTTTTGTCCGGTGAGCTTTTGTCCGGTGAGCTTTTGTCCGGGATTCAACTTGGGAGGGACAAAGTTGATTTCATAGAAGTGACGCTGGATGTATAATGATAATTAGAAAGAATAAAACGAGAATGGCCACCAACGCGGTGATGAGAGTGGCTTGTCCGGGATCCCAGAGAGAGGTTGCATATTCTAACTTTCGGTCGAACTGGAGTTTTATAAAAACACAAGCTTGAAGGAAACAGGTGCTAATGAAAAGTTACGCCTGAGGTAGCCCTAGCATACACTCTTAATCTAAGAAATGTCAGCGCGTCTACTTGCTTGCAAAACACTCAGACAGTCAATCTCTGCGATCTGCGAAATCAGCTCAGCGAATGATGAGGCGGAATATCTGCTTAGACTTAAAAATAAAGTTCGCGCTGTGGCATCACTCAATACAAAGTGTCATGCTTGCATTGCGTCATGCCACAGCGCAGACTTAATTTTTAGATCTACAGAGATGTTCCGCCTCATCATTCGCTGACCTGATTTCGCAGATCGCAGAGATTGGCCTTCGAGTGTTTTGCGGGTAAGTAGACGCGCAGGCATTTCTTAAAGTGTTCGGTTAGCATTAGAGGGGATATACTGAAAATGTGTTTTCCATGAGAGGCTAGAAGTTATATGTACACCTTAATATTTTTAAGAAGATACCGCGTCAAGCTGAGCTTGATTAAGATAGTAGTTGCGAGTTTCATGTGACTGTCGGTCTGGATGAGCATCGTACCGGCGTGCGGTCGTGTATCACTACTGCGTGGTGCACGTTAAAGACCCCAGGCTAGCGGTTGTACTGCACTGGCTAAATTGCTCATCTACAGCGTGTGACTCGTCGCAACTTTAATGGCTGACCAACTACACGCTGTATAAATATCCCCACAACCCAACCTTTTTGCGAGATACACGCATGGACTTACATTTGTTAGTATCAAGAGTCATAGACCATACGTCACACCACTGGTAGATAGCATTAATGTCAGTTTGAAGCACGCTGTTATCATGATCATTAAGCGATCAAAATTACAGCCAAAGTTTTCTCAAAATGACATTATTTTTCGTACCGGAAATAAACGGGTCATACAACGAAACGAGAGCTTCCAAGTGAGCTGGCGAAGATTAAACATGTTAAGACCAAAAAGTACCCGAGACCGGTCTACAAAGTAATGCACTGTCTATAAAATGACGGTTCATGTAACTCACATAAACAACAAACTTGTTCAGTAAATAAACGAACTAAAAAAAGTCGTTTCACCTGTAAAAAAAAAAAAAAAGAACTTATGAAGAGGTTGGACAAATCAACACAGTCAACGCAGCGAGAGTTCATGGTGACTTGTTTAATACGCATAGAACAAGTTGTGCAATCAGTTTAGAGCGGTAGAAGTAGAAGACAAAAGTAGGGGATATATATATATATATATATATATATATATATATATATATATATATATATATATATATATATATATATATATATATAAAAGATAACTGATTTGGCACTTACCATAAATATAAAAAGTGCAGTTCTACGCGGGGTGATATGTTTACCCAAGCCGCAGCCTTTTGGCCGTGTACAGTCATCGGAAACCCAGTTCTTTTTTAATGTTTTTAAGAATACTAGTTTTTCCCCCACAATTTCAAAGCAGAAGTTAAATAGTTTTACAAAAATAAAAACATCAGGAAAAAATATTATTTTAACAAAAATTACTAAAAAAGTAAACCGAAAAATAACAAAAAAAAAATTAAGGCAAGTGAGTTGGCAAGCATTGTTTTACAGGTTTACATTTTTTATACATAGTACCGAGGACGCTAGCGCACAAAAACACATAATTCATGTACACGCGAAATAAATTACGACTGCCAGCAGTATTTGATAACATAAGAAAGGAGAAAGGAGAAAACGGTCTCGATTTTTGGACTGGTGTAATTCAAATAAGAAACACATTATGATACCAACAAAACAAGCAAATAAAACTTAGAGGGCGAGTGATAATATTGGCCAACGTAAACTGAGGGATTTAATAGTGTTAATAAGTTGGCCATTGCTCACCACCCTGCACTTTGGATTGCTTTCATTGGCTGGAATCTTTCTCCAGCACGCGATTCGTGAAATGTTTGCATTGCTGCTTCTCAAAGAAAGCCAGCTTCTTCCAGAACGACGAGTCAACGTTGACCAGTGATGTATTCTGCCACTTCTGCGTTTTTTTATGTTCTTTTTTGTTTCTGTTTTGCCACGCACACAGCACACACGAGGTCTCCATGCTCCCTCCAAACGTGGCAAAGACAAACGAAAGAAGGAACATCTAAAGTTTCTTGATTCGACGCACTGTCTTTCTCAGGTGGAAACGATTATAGTCTGTTGCAGCTTAAGTAAAGCAGGACAAGCCCCTCCAAGCCTCTACTCGCCATGACATGGTAGTTCCCCCCCTCCCCCCTTCCGCCCTCCCTCTCCAGCGTTCCCTTTGTTAAAGTGAAAAGCGCGGAGGGCCTTGTGTCCTGATAATAGGGAGTATTCGTAGATCGTTTTCGCCGTCCCGCAATGCTCTCCGCAACCCGCTAGGATACCCAGAACTCTACAGTCAAGGCCATCGGTGCGCAGGCGCAGTAGCGGCTTTTTCGTTGCGGAGGGCTTAGTGGAGGAAGAAACGCGGTCTACGAAAACTCCCTATTATATACCTACAACAGACCGTGATGCGCATAACGTATAGTACATTATGCGAGAAAAGGGATTATAATCAGATTAATTTGCGAGGAAGAGCATGGCGTTTCGCCGTGACCCAACCCGTCACGCCATAGTCAGGGCTGCAAACGAATGACAGGTAAGAGCCACGGAATGCGCCTTGTATCACGCTGAAGACCGACGCGCTCACGTGATATCACGCCGTCGATGGCGCTGCGGACGACAGGGCGCAAGCGCAGACGCTTTCATCTCTCTCGAATCTTGTTTTCTGCGCACGCGCAATGACAAGTAAAAAAGAAATAAAAAAAAGCACGGAGTGGGTCTTGTGTCTCTTTGCACACCGCACTTGTTGAGCAGCCAAAAGAGCGTTCGTCATGCACGGCGTCTTGAGTCTCTGCTTGGCACCTTCGCAATCCAACGCGATGCGCTTCGGGAATTCGCACCGCGAGGCAGAAAACTTGGCCGAAGGGTGTGGAGTAGGGGGTCTCATCTGCGCACTCCGAGCACCTCGTTGATCCACGTGACGTATGGCGCGACTCTGGTGAAGACGGTTGGGTAGTGGGCGGAACCGCCGCACGAGACGCCGAAGCTGTAGATGCCGACGATGGTCCACAGCCCTCTCTGCTTCGCCATCAGTGGACTGCCCGGTAGGCCCTGCCAAAAACACGCGCAAAGAAGGGTTTATTAAAAGTGCATATGTTCTGGTTTTGTTACTTGGAAACTACCTTTCTTAGGTGCTGTTGGAAATGACTTTTTGTTGTTTTTGTTAGGTGACGTTGAGGGGTCTAGGTAGCGCAAAAAGGAAATAATTAGGGAGTTTGGTGTCCCTTCAAGCCGCGGTCATATCACTATGGGTAGACCTCAAGGTAACTTACCTTGAGGTCTATCCACTATGCTTCAATCAGAGCCATTCAGAGCTCGGCGTCGTTGTGAGCTCACTACATCCCCTGCAAAAGGAGCAGACAAACTTGCGCTCCGCATACATGATAAAAGACAGGTTCAGACACTGCCTGAGGCATGTGATGTCCCTGTCCCATTGGACATACAAACACCGTCCGCAGACACAGTCGAAGCACACATATGTATAAAACAAAAGATGCTTCGAATATGCTCGAAACGTGTTCGCAGACAATTATATCAACATGTCTGCTGCGAACTTGCGTGTGTTCTATGATCTATGAAGACTATGAATGCAGTTTTAGTATTGTCTCGAGGGACGCTTACCACACACTCTTCTCTGTCGGCTTTCTCCACCTCCGCACAGAGGAAGTCTTCGTCGGAGATGCCCAGCGGGTAAGGAGACAGGTCCACTCCCGCGAATGTCTTGTTGCACACCGTCACCGGGATGACCCTGAAGCGCTTCTCGGTCATCGAGCCGGGATGGAAATCTGGGCAGAGGAGGACTCCGCGGTCAGTGCGCTACTTTCGTGGTCAGATACAAGTTAATGACACGCCAGGAACTCTTCTCGCATCCGGATGATACACTAGCCACGGTTCCTCCGAGAATCGCAAAGAATCCGGTACCAAAGTTATACGGGCAAAACCTGATGGAGTCTCCTCCTCTCCCCCAGTCTCTACTCGCATTACGTATCGATCAAGGGCGCAGCCATAAAATATATATATATATATATATATATTGCTGTCTTCGCATAACTCGTCATGACTACTGGCTTCCTTGGCTGGTCCGCGGTGCGTTTCGATGCCTTGGCTGGTACGTGGATTGTTTTTCCCATTTTTAACTTTTATCTGACCACGTTAACATGGTTCACCATGTTAACGATGGCTATCTACAGTCAAATACAAGTTAAGGGTGCGCCGAATGAACACCAGCGCGGACCAGTCACGGCACTGAATCGCTCCGCGGAAGAACCAGGAAAAGCAAAAGCCATGACAAGTTGTGACGTCACAGCGAGGTGTACGTTGTGCAACTATTTGTGCATCGCAAAGGAATAGTGTCTGGCGGTAATGAGGATGTAAGAGGAACTTCTGGTTCATCCTCTGTTTGTATGACTATGGCTATCAGAATAACTATGAATAATGATCAGAATAAGCACGGCAAGGAGTATACTAGGTGGAGTAAGTATTAATCGGGGACATTGAGATCAACTAGTGTTTCGTGCCGGTTTGTTACATTCAAATAAGAGAATAGAAGAGTTCAGAGAAAGGTACTGGATGATGACCCTGTAACGCATTGAGTGTGGTAATGTATCGACCTGCTCCGGGATAGCTGCAATTTTACTTTGAACTCCGATTTTTCGTTGATCGAGTTTTCGGTTGTGACAATTCTTGTTATACTTCGTACTCCGTGACGATACATAAAGGTGTATCGTCACGAGGCTCATCGCCCTTTATACGTTCGTTATATCCGACTCGAACCAATCATACGCAATGAATGTGCGACGATCCTGGTTTTTTTTTCTACGCGTGACTGGTCTATGCGGAGATAGCAGACTATCAAAAACGACGAGCGCCGTGACTATACACTTTTTAACTCTGCTTGATTGGTTCCATCGAATCGTAGCGTAGTCTTCAGTCGAACTTAAAGTGAAACGGAGCATATATAGACCAACCCACTGTTTACAAACAAGCCCACGTTTGCCCACACCAGGTGTGCGCATTGCGCGTGCGCAGAAACCAGATTCGCGTAAGGCAAAGCATCTGCGCATGCGCAGTGCCGACAGCAGCGCCATTGCAGTGGTGTGACGTCAGTGAGTTGAGTTGGTCTATGTATTTTCCTCTCGAAACTTATTTCTTTTCTTTCTTTTTACAAGGGCGTTAAGCTGGCACAGCGTGTCATATCCTGATCAGTTAAAACTGTTTCTGGGAGCCAGTGTCTCTTTAAGTTGGAACCGAAGACTCGCTTCGGGAGCTCTCAATGGCGCAGCTATACGTCCATTCAAGGGGGCGGCGCGCCCTTGTGGAATGCGTCTCCGACTGTGGTGTTCAGCGTCCTATTACACCACCAATACATCGAGAGTGGTCACCGAAGTGGCAACAAACGACGCCGCGAAAGCCGGAGAGTGATGCTGTCGGATGTCGCGATCCTGATGGTTGGTCCTATAGAAGTTCCGACAAAAAAGCACAAGGGAACACGAGTGTCGCTGTCGTCGCAGCGTCCCAGCTCCTAGCCGCCGAAGCTTCCGTGGCGATGTCAAGCTGAAGAACGACCTGCAGCAGAACAGACGTCTGCCACGTCCACCACTTCTGCTGTGACACCGCCAGGATCGCGGCCGGCGCGGCGACAACAAGTTTTATGGCGTCATCAAGCGGGCATCGAAAGACTACTTTGCAGAACGCGGTAAACACACAAGTCGAAAACGCGTTCCAGGCACTGCGTAGGTAGACGTCTTTTTTGTTTACTCTCGTTCCTAGCCACCTGGTCGACATATCCGACATGGGCGAAGAAAAAGAATAAAACAATTCAACTTGCAAATAGTAAAAACAATAGAGGTTAGGCAAAACGAGAATGGGTGGCATTTACGCTTCTATCCTGAATGTCAATTCTACCGGCGGGGCGACGGCAAAACGTTTTCGCCGATACTGGATGTGACGACATTCAAGATGGCGGCGCGCTCCCCAGTGGAAGAGGCGTGTGCGGCACGCACCTCGCTGTCTGTTGGACCAGCTGACGGCGTCCAGGAGGCTTCCGTCCGGGACCCTCCTCTCGTTGATGACCCGGGGCAGACAGATGGGCGACAGGGAGCTGGGCGGAAGTGGAGGCACTAGCCGCACCACCGCCACGTCGCTGTAGCCGTCGGGGGACCGGTAGTCCGGGTGGGTCACGGCGGTGACGACGCGGTGCACCGACGGCTCGCCCGGCATGTTCAGCTCGGCCACGCTGCGAGCGCTGTGAGGGGATCTACGGGTAAGCTATACATTCCCCGACATTATTTAGCCGCTCTTACACTGCAAATACACCATACGAAAAGAGTCTCTGCTGACACTGTCTGAGCCGTGCTTCTTCCTTGTATATGACAGTCCTGTCACACTGGTCATACAAACAAACTGCGTGAAGACATGTTCCGAGCATGTCTATGAAGCAAACATGCTTGGAACATGGTTGAGGTGTTTCCCAAGATAATTTTGTCTTCATGTATGCAGCGATCACGGGGTCTGCTTAAATGGCAAACTTTAATGCCCGCCAGTCGTTTCGAAATAAATTGCGAAAAAGCGCCGAAGTTGTGTTCGCCCTAACGGTGTCGCACACTATGAAAACGGAACGAAAAAAAAAAAAGAAAATACAATTGCAGACGAGCAGGTGCACGAATTTTTTGTAATCATAAAACCTCAAATTAGGGTAGAAAAAAAAACAAAAAAACACAGTGCAAGCCCATAAGCTCTTGATAATGGCAAGGCAGAAAGAAAGGGACAAACGGACAGCCTGGAACTCGGCTACGAGGATTATCTTTATATCGTAAAAAAGATAGCCCTTGTAGCCGAGTTTGAGACGTTGTTTGTATTATAGTTTTTTTTTTTTCTTTCTTCCAGAGTGTGTGTCTCTTTCCCCACCTCAGACCATCACGAAGAATAGAGGGAGTCGGGAAGAACCCCTGACATTTTCTGTCCGTCCCGCACATGGCTCCCACCTTAATATGAAATTCAGAATATGTCTTGAGAAGATGGTAGATATTAAAATTCACCATAATTTAAATCGTGATTTTAATCCAACCACTTTTACCATCATGATTTAAACCAAATCTTTACTGCAAAAACGATTCCAAAAATGTTTACCGTTTGTCTATCATTTAATGCTTAATACGTGCCTTTGTTTTGTACTGAAATCTAAGAGTCATAAAGCAAGAAATATCTATATCAGGCTGAACATGAACGGAAAACACTTTTGAGCAAATCGGAGCATTCAGCTTTCTTTTTACAATTCGTTCGTCAGTCACGTGATGTCCCATTTCAAGTAAATCAGAATGCGAAAGAAAAAAAGTAAAACTCAAAAAGTAACGTCTAATTGCTAGCGAATCAGAACGTGAAATAAAGGCAAATAACGTAGTTAACTAAACATATCAAGCATATTTTTGTTCTAGTAGGGCGGGGCTATATCGGTAAAAACTTCTTAATTAAACTTCAGGTCGTGAATCACTACTGCGCGGTGCACGTTAAAGACCCCAGGCTAGCGGTTGCACCGCAGTGGCTAAATTGCTCATCTACAGGCTGACTAACTTCTGGCCGTATAAACATACACACAACACAAATAATTGTGTTGTGTGTCTTTACCTCTTTACTACTTTTTATTGTATCTTACTCTTTATCGTCATCCTCTCTAATCCTGAGCACAAATTTCTGATTTCCGCTGAGTCAAATGGATAGTATGACACGGTACATAATATGTGACCACTTAAGATTACCATTCTTACATTTAAAGGAAAGGTAAAAAGGCACGATCTGCCGTGCGGTACTTAGCGTACGTTGTTATTATAAAGAAGTTGATGCTATGCGTACCCGCGATCTGGGCCAAAGCATTGGGCTGCTGTGAGGACATGCTGACTGTCCAGGAGTACACCAGCGCAGCGTCTTGCAGGGTTTGCTTGATCTACGATTGCCACCTGTAGAAACAACATCTAACTTTGACAAAACACATACATAAATCTTGAGCTCGCACATAACGGTGCAAATACTTGGAAGACAAGTTTCAAAATACTGGGACAAGGTCTTTGTCCTCAAGAGTGCCTAGCAGCGTGACATGTCTGCAAAACAAACAGAGTGACTACAATAGGCCAGTCGAAGACCTTCGAAGAACGTCTTACCAGAAGACTCGGCAAGCGTTTTAGTTGCATGGAGAGCTGCGCAACGACATGCAATTCTGAGCAGGCTGCTGCCTGAAGACACCCTGGCACCATCAATATGAAGGTGGCAATTGGTATATTATTACACTTTTGAGTAGCCATATTGAAATAATATATATTTATATATTAACTCTGAAATCACTGGAGACTCCAAGGAGCCCATTCGCAAGGGCAAATGATGAAAAACATCCAATGCCAGAAACATGCATACTATCTGAAGAATGCAATCGAGAATGATGGGCTTGCTTGTTGTTTGTGTAGCGGAAAAACTCTAGTTCCTCTAGCTCGGCAGGGGAGTGAGAATGAGAGAGAAAATAAATGAGGCTTCCGAAGAGCTTAGCAGTCCTAAAATACGGCGCGGGTTATTCCATCAATTTAATGTGAAAAGTAAAGCAGGGAGTTAGAATGGTGCGAGAGGGGCGAAGAAATGAGAAAGAAAAGGAATGAGAAATTGGGCAACGACGGAGTGTTCGAAGAAGATAAGTACACCCAAGTGGGTAGCAATAAGAAACTGCAAGACCGCGTAAGTGTAGATTCCTTCTTTTTTGCTCGCTAGCCTTAACCACTGGGAGTTTCCGGCAGCCGTTTCGCAACAGGTTGCTTTCCGTGGAGATTTATTAGGCAACTCACCATCCAGGGCCAAGCGGGAGGGTCCTGCTGTGGCTGGCGGCGCTGCGAGGCCAGTCGCCCGGTCAGACCTGTACGGGTCATGTGACGACCACGAAATAACCCGCCGGGCGTTGGTCGTCCGTGAAAGAGCCCACCGGGTGCTGGTCGTCCGAAGTGGAAGGGCAAGCGTTGCCGCGGACGGAAGATCCTCCTCGGGTCCACGTAGTAGGCGTCTTCGTCGTCGAAGAAGAGCTTCCCCATCCTCGTGGCTCCCTGGCGGGACTCGGCGTTTTCGTGCCGGACACCGCAGACTGCACGGCGGGACGGAGGTAAGCAGACAACGCATTGATTACACCCGATGCCCTATAGATGGTGCGTTTTAGCGGTCGGTATAAATGGCTTCCACGTGAGGTCATTGCACCATGTTGGTGGTCATTCCTATACTTGTTCTTGCTGAGCAAACACCATCTTTGGTGCAAAATGGATGCTGAAGAAGGTACCCGCTCAGCTTTTAAGGCCACCATAATGGGAGCTGATGTGACGCCAGTGCAAGCCATGTATGCACCCATTCTGAGGCTTTTACTTGATTCCTGTCTAGCACCGCAGAAGCTAAGTCAGTCCGCGAAATGTCAGTTCCCCACTCACTCTCAGAGGCTTTCCGCAGGTTCTTTTTCATCTAGATGCACATACACACGCATGACTAAGCTTATCTCTCTCTTTTACGCTGCGGCCTCGACCTGGCTGTTCACGCCTAATTTGAGCTCTTGCCTTTTACGCATGAAAGGCCTCGGTCTTCTGATGGAAACAAGTTTTTCCCGGTCCCTGGTTGACCTTGTAATGGTCATTACTTCGTTTCATTTTTACATGGATTGGAACGAAGAATGTAAGCTCAAGTTCCCTGCTTTCGAAAGCTCCTCAGCTGCTCGGATACTCCTGCCACAGGAGCGCCAACCAGACCTCGCGCTTGTAGCCTTTGCTGTAATCTGTTCTTGTGAGAAAACGTATAGCCTGGGCCACAGTCATTGACAGCCTGAAAAACGCAAGGCACAGCGAGTCTTAAGGATTTTATTATCGTTCAGCAGCAAATGACATTGTTACTTTAATCGGTAAGAACTACTAAGACCGGGTCGCGAATCAAGAAGCGTTTCTTAATCAATCGGTGACTACAGCGTGATAAACAGTAAAGTTTCTCCAGCGACAACAGAAAAAGCAGCCATTTCGACGACTCAGCATTCCTTGTTAATACAGATCATTCACAGACATGTTTTTGGTGGTCAGTTAGTGACGTTCAAGCCCAAAATAACAAAGGTTGTTGACGAGGTGAACATAACATGTCTCTAAGGAGTGCAAGTCGCTGGTTCGCCTAGTGCGACGATGCTCGAATACGAACTTTTTTCGAATAACCGAGCGAAAGGAAGCCACTCAAGACAGATGTCAAAGAGCGATGAAGGATAAAGGAAGGGGCGAGGGAAGTCCCGGTCAGAAATCCTCGAATATCAAGGGTGCAACGTCATAGCGGGGTTGCGGCAGCAGAGTTTCGTCGGGGAAAGCGAGGAGTGGAGCTATAGCGTCCGGAGGAAGGATGGACGTCCTGTCTTAGGGTAGCGCATACAACACTTGCTGCTTTGAGGCCGCCGAAAAAAGGAAATTCCTGTCAGTGGTTGCACGATCCAGCAGTCGCAAAGGAGATGGTCTAAGTGTTAGGTTTCGATTTTTGTTTATAGCTCTTATTGTGTTTCGTACGCCTTTGTCCTGAAATCTCAAGTTTAAATCGCCCAACCATCACCCGTACAATTTGTATTTTTAGGTATTTTCAGGAGACGCGTCCAGACACACGGTTCCCATGGAGAGCATTCCTGTATAGAGCACCTGCACCAATCGGGAGGTAAACGGTGAGGTATCCATATTTCATTCGCTTTGTGCTCGCTCCTCGAAGCGATGTTTGTGCTTGTTCCTCAAAGCAATGTTTCATCTGAGAGTACTTAATAATTTATGACAGAGCCAGAAGACCATAAAAATGAGGTCAATCGTGTCTGTACTGTTGTACGGGAAGGATAGCTCAAAGCCTTAGACCAAGAGACATTGCCAATATTATAGATCATTAATTAGCCTACCACCAAGTGATAGGGCGTCCGGATGATGATGATGACCTTCCCTCGTACAGTTTCACGAAGGTTCCACTTCAAATGTGTGATTCTGACTGGTTGGTTAAAAAGTGAATTTTAGCATGCCGTATATATCGTATGCTACACTGAGAAAATAACTTTGAGTGGTAATGCTGAAATTGGGAGTTGGTGTTCCCTAAAAGATATTCGTCCTTGCAGGCATTGTTGAAGAAAAGTGTACAAAAACGGTTAACCTTTTTCTGAGGCTTCCTGTGATTTTTTTTTTTATTTTTTAATTTTCTTGGTTTAGTAGATACTTTTGACTTTTTGGCATTTTGCCTATGATTGTGTGCAGAACCAGTGTTCTCTCATATTATGCGAACCTCTACGCCTTCCTGTTCTCTCTTTTATCTTGCTTGTCCAGATCAATGTCGTGATTGCCTCTTGCAGGATTCGCTGGGACCACCTCTACAGCCATCGTGGTGTTGTAATTGCACAATCTGGTGCTTCGAACTAAACTGAAGAAACACGTGTGATATAATAAAGCAAACAACTCTTTGTAGGTACCATGTCAATGGTCGGGACGTTTCGCCAGGGCAAAGGTAATTAGCTGGACGCATATGCCATCGAATAGTGAAAGTGCGGTGGTAAGTTATGCTTGCGGTCAAATAATATTCCCGTTTTGTTTACTAAGCAAAAAAAAAAATCTTTATAGAAGACCCAAGCAGGAGGTAGCTTCAGAAGAGTCCATGTTTTTATTAAGGTCCGATAAAACTTTGAGTGTGTTGTCATTAACCTTCATTTCAATGCGGCTAGTCATCTTCAAAAAAGTACAAAGACTTCCCGCCGTCACCTTGTGATAACAAACTTCAACCCAGTATAAAAAAAAAAAAAAAATAGGAGGATGGATGGAAAATATTATTTACTGCGGTGTGTGCTGGTCCGGATGTTTGTAATAGCAGCGAGGACGAAACCGAAATGTCATGTCAGTTTCTTGTACCGCGTCCCGAAGTTTTTGATGGTCCTCTGAGACGGCCAATTCTTCGGATCTCAATGCTGTTTCCCCCTTTGTCCAAGCAGCAGCAGTCTCAGATGCATTGTTTTGCCAACCCTCCCAGGATGACGAAGGAAATATTTCATTTGGTAAAAATATGCTAGGCCCGATTTCTATACCAAGTGCTGACTGGAGCCGTCTGTAAAACTCCTGTGTTTGCAGCTGTCGTAACACCTTAGGTCACCGGAAACAACAAATTTCGTATGTGAAAAATATTTATGTTGCGTATGTCCGTCACCACAACAACCGAGCGTTTCGTCACTCAGTTATGCAGGTCACTGTTAGGCCTTTCTCGGCGTAAGCACCCTCAACGTAATTAAACGTGTGAGTATATTTCACGTTCCACTCAATCACGAAGCCATCAGCAGTTTCCGCACGTCTTTCCGAGAGTCTTTAGTTCTGTTACTGTTGGCGATTCGTGAACCGACATGTTGTCCGGTGTTGCAAGCCCCCGGCAATGTTCTTTAACTTTTGGTGATCCGTTTAAACAGGTATCTTATAGGAATGGCTCCCGGATTAGCGCTGTGGATGAAATCGTATAGAACCACTGAGTACACGGATCCTTCCTATCGGTTCGAGTCACGCATCGCGTGTTATTTTATTTGAAGTCACCATTTTTTGTTGGTATGACCTCTTGGCGAGTGGCTGGCTTGGCGGTCGTACAGTTTGTCTTGGGGGTATCCACAGGGGAGCGAAATCCCAGCACCGCCGTCTCTTACCATAATCGACAGCTTATTCACCAATAAATACTCTGTGCGCTCAAGCACCAAACTTCAGATTCTTTTTTTAAGACAACTTATTTCAAAGTTTCTGAAGCTAGATATGAAAGCAGGCAGATTACTAGGGTCGCATGACACGGTGAAGACGTTTATAATTTCAAGAAATAAGTAATCGACTGACATAGTATGGTAGGACAAAGTAGATGGTCGGTCGAATGTGTATGTTTATGGAAGCAGGTCGGACTTAGCCTGTCGACAGTATTGAATCGCTAAACTTTTAATATGTTATATTATCAACTCGACAAGAGCAAGAGGCAGACCTGCTGAAATTTTATTTAGGTATAGAATGCAACGAGCAAATGGAAGAGATGTTGACATGACACGTCTGGGAGTGTACGGTTGTTTGTGGTTACCGAAGTCTAGCTCCTCTAAGAAGATGGAGGGGACTGGGAAGCTTCACACAAGATGAAGGGGACAGGGGGGAACTTTAGTGCTCATCTGGCTTCTTAAAATAATTAATACATCCTCAAAGAACGACGGGAGCGTTCAAGGCCGGCCAGCGTAGACGAGATGCGATGAACGGCTGGAGAGCCAAAGACCGCTCTACAGAGTCAAATTTTAAGAACCAAGGAACCGAAACACACAAAAAAGTTAAATCACCTTACTCAACGCTCTCTGGAAAGGCATCTCTCACCTAGCTGTGGTCTAAATAGCGCCGATGTGTCATACACGTTACCACGAATGAAGACGCTTCAGTAAGGTCATACGACTATATTTGCAGCTTGTCTTAAGGGGCACGATCTGTGTTAAATTATTTATGTTACGTATTTTGCTAAAATTTAAAACTTGCAACCGGCACGTTTCGGTCACTTCGCAAAAAGAAAACGAAAGAAGAAAAGTCTTGGAAAGTACGGAACAACAGAAGCGGCTGCTGCTTTGCTAAGAAAGTCTCTTAGCGAAACGTTTGCTGACCTTCGGACTTTCCGAAGAGGGTTTCCCTTTCAAGTTTTCCGTGCTCTTTTGAAAGAACCAGTAATCTGATAGTACAATTGTTATTATGGGACCTATTACGATTATAGTTCTGTATCTATAAAAGTGTAGAGATCATTCAACACATTTTATGCATACTGCTAAACCCGCTGTCTTAGATAAGTATGCCATATTCTTCTCAAAAAGACGGTTAATATATTTTTTAATGTACCGTGTAGCACTTAGCACTGTATTTTGTACCTAAACGTACAAATTATATCCGAAGTGACATTGAAATAAAGATACGTCCTTGCTTCAGGAAACCAAGTTTCTTTTTGCAATCGAACAAGACTGACATCGTAAGTTGTTCGGACTAGATCCGCACTGGGCGGATATTACTAAAGGGCATTACCGGCGTTGGCAGTACCGTCCGTGTCCGTGTCAACCGAACACGGACAATTCTCTTCGCCCTCGTCCCGAGAGCCTGGCTTCGGCGCTACAGGTCCAGGACTAACTGGCTCCGGGTTAACCGGTTCCGGATTGACTGGCTCAGGATTAACTGGCTCTGGATCAACAGGCCCAGGAGTAACTGGTTCCGGTTGAGCTGGTTCTGGTTGATCAGGTTCTGGTTGATTAGTTCCTGGTTGATCAGGTCCTGGAGGTACCGGTTCAGGATGCGCAGGGTCAGGATGAACGCCGGGCTTTCCGGTTCCTTCGGAGGGTGGCATGTCAACGTCGATGGGTTCTTGACAGCAGACTAGGGACGTGGTCTTCTGCCAGTCGCAGATGATCGGGTGCTGACCGCGGCGGATCTGTAACTGCGCCGGACGACACTGCTCCACGGTCACGCAGTGGGGCTTGTCCGGGGGGCACTTGTTTCCATGGTCGTCTTCGAAGACCACTTGCGCTCCTGAAATGAAGCGGTGTTCCACTCATTCGTATCCTTTGATAGCCTATTTTCGGCAGGTCAGACGTTCATGTTCAACTCTCACGAGGTCCAAAAATCGCAAAGCTTAAAACTTACACAGGTATCCGACAAAATTGCGCCACCACTCGGGAGACTAAGGCCGCTGCATAAGGCGTGTTTCTTTCTTGTATGACGCTTCTGTCACGTTGGACATTGCCTGCAGACATCTTCCAAACATACATATGCATAAAAAAATCCTTTGAACTTGCTTGGAGCACGTCCGAAGATACTTTTGCCACCATGTCTGCAGCAAATCCTTTAGCCAGGGTCACGCTGCTGGTACGTCATACAAAAGACAGTCTGCGAAGACGAGTCGCCGCAATATCCGCGGATCGAATGCCGCCTGCCAAGTTTTCTACCTGAACTCATTGCCATGCGGCATTCGGAGCCCGGATATAGCGGACTCGCGTTCGAATCCGTCTGCAGACTGTCTTTTGTATAATGCAGAAGGAATGTGACCCTGCCTTAAAAAAAAAAAAAAAAAAAAAAAAAAAAACAGTAAACCTAAAAAAAGAAAGAAATTATATTTGCTTAGGACAAGAATGTCTCAGAATGAATGTTCGTCGAAAAAAACATTTTTTTTCCCCCAATATATATGTTACATTACGATTATTTTTTTTTTTTTTCGATTTGCAGGCGAAACCGAAATTGTACCTCTTTGGGATAATGATGATAGCGTTAGTATCCAAGTAATGTGCGCTTTGAGGTTGCTGAACCTAGAGTTTCTGTAAACACTTTCAGAAAAAAAGGGTGTATTCTGACACCCATTGTCCCATATAAGACACCCCAAAACTTCAGTTCGACGTACAGCGCATTGACGTCGACCTGACGGTACTAACTTTTACGAGGTGCTTGATGACCGGGTTGTACAACTTATTAAAATAGTTAATGTATGTGTTACTGACTAAAAAAAAATAATAATAGTTTTTTTTTTTTTTTTGGCCTTGCTGAAAAATTTCAGTGTTTTTTCCCTGTGGTCTTTGATACGTACTTTAGCAATGTAATAAGTTATATCGCATCGTTATCAAGACCCTCGTAAAATTTGGGGCCGTCTGCTCGACTATAGTGTTCTGTACGTCAAACTGAAGTTTTGGGGTGCATTATATGAGACAAAACGGTGTAAAGTGATACTTATTTATTTATTTTTTTTAGAGTGAAGGTTCCCTACGGGAGCCAGAGTTACGCGTCTGTTTTTCACGTGCCGCCGCGCCGCTAGATCGATCACGCGAGGAGCAAAGAATCCTATGCCGTGCAGGAAAGTCACTGATATGGTCGCTTCGCCGACGTTGCACGCGCCCCGGCGTATGCTCCCCTGCTTTTGCCTCCTCCTCCTTTCCTGTTTTCCAAGCGCGGTGGCGCGCGCGGCGCCGCTATTCTCCGAATTTAGTCAGGCGACGAGCAAAGAATCCTCTGTGCAGGAAAGCCGGCGCTACGGCCACCCACCAAGGATGAACGCGCAACTCTGGTTCCCGTAGGGAGCCTATACAGGAACTCTCTGCACCTCAAAGAGTTCCTGCTTTAGTATTGTTTTAAAGATGTATGAGCAGGGGACTGCGGCTTAAGAAGACACGCTGACCTTTACTGCATTCACGGGAAAATAGGGACTTTTAGCAAACCTTTACCGTGTTCCGCGTGCCGCACTACCGGACCCTTTGAAGCGTGCTTCAAAGGGTCCGGCGCGCGCCCCGGTGTCGCGGTATCATTCGGCAGAGCGCAAAGCGCTCTCCCGAGTAGCCCGGCCGTCGGAACATGAACAAATTAATGTTTGCACATAGGTGACAACTATGCCAAGTCAAGGGCATATACATGTCAAAGTAATGCTCAACGGATACGTAGAGAGGCACCCCGATCTTTCCTTAGACTGTCTCCTGCCAGCACATATGGGAAAAGCGCTGGCGCAATACTCGGAAACATGCGATGTACAAGGCCGGGAGAATACCAGCGTACTTTCCCAGGGTAGCAATCCTCCGCAGGAAGGTATACGAGGTATGTGTCTCAACCTTGACCGCTTGATATGGGTTCACGCATCGCTTGGCACCCCGCAGGTAAGACATCATTAGCCGCACGCTCAGACAAAGAAAGCAGAAGTAATACAAAAAAAAAAAAAAAAAAAAAAAAAACCAAGAAACAACCACCCGTTTTCCATTTCGCGATGCATTGCAACACGGAAGCTCAAAGAACACTGAGCGCGTTCTCCTCTACATTTCACCTTATTATGTACCGCAAGAAAGGCTACAAGCGCGAGCTCCTTACTCTATACTCTGTTTTATATTTAGCGTGCAACGCTGTCAAAGCTACTGGCGCGAGCGTGGGGCTTGATCTCGTTGATCATTTGCACGCGTTCTCGCGCAAACAAAACCACACATGAAGCCACGCGCTCGTGTCTGTAGCTTTGACAGCGTTGTACGCTAAGTATGAAACAGAGTATAGGGCACATCTCGGCGGCACAAGCTCTCGTGCATTAAGGGCAGCTGCCAACGCTATGAGCTCGCCACTTCTAGCCTTCGCTGCGGTGCAACATAAGGTGAAATGGAGTATAATATCTTTTCGATATAACGAGGACGAGTGAAAAAAATGAACTCGGTGACCAGTCGTCATGCCACGCGCTAAAATGAAAGACAAAGAATAAATAAAAAAGACGCGGCTGTTTAGAAGATTGCAAGAAAATAGTTGCTCGAAAGGAAAAAGAAGAGAACCTAGATTTAAGAAAGGAATCAACTCAAACCACTGAGAGCGTCTGCAATTTAATGGTGGATGCCTGCCGCGCCGGCCGGTTGCAAGTGCGCATGAGTCGCGTCAGCTCGTAGTGCAAACGAGGCCAATAAAGCACGTGACCCCAATCGAAAGGTTTGGAAACACTCTGTAATCTAGGCACCCTAGGAGAAGGCCGATACGTGTATAGTTTTCGTTATTGCACTTCAAACTTTCGAATCGTTAGCTGCAAGCTTCCCCCCTCGGTGACCTGGAAGAGAAAGAAGGATGGCGAAAATACGGAATCTGATACACATAGAGTATATAGGGTTTTTGGTTTCGCTGCCGAGCAGATAAACCGTTCTTGGTTTGGGCGGGGCTTATGGAACGTCCGACAGGCCATCGCGCCCGGAGTGAAGATGGGTTTCGATCCATTCTTTAGCAGCGGACGATGGTTATCATCATGGTTATCATAGACAAAAAGTAAACAAATGATAGAAAGAATGAAAACACCGAAGGAGGCAACGAGATAGATAAAATGAAGGAAGAGGCGGAGGAGGTTTCATGGAACGCACAGGACCCCAAAAGGCTAACAAAAGTGAACTCATTGTGGTGCTATACGGTTACGATGGAAGTAATAGCAGACGATCGTCTGGTCGCGGCAGATGCAATGAACTGAGCTTCGGAAGGCTTGTTTTGCTTTTTGCTCGATCGTTTGCGTCGAATTTACTCGGATTTTGGTATTCATTTATGCCTCGAGGGGAGGAACACGGTGCGGCAAATGGAGTTGTAATTTTACGAGCAGAGTTATTTCGGCGTGAAAGGGGGACGCTGGCCGAAATTACGGTTATCATCATTTCGAGTATACGTGTAAAAGAACACGAAAAAAAGAAAGAAAAAGATTTGTATTGCTTAAAGCAAGGAGTACAACAACTTGGTTGTTTTTAAAACATTTTGTGTTTTACTAGGTGTTTTTCTTGCACTTCCGGTTGTAACATGAGATCTGCGATTTTTGTTTTCGTTTCCTTTCGGCCTTCCCGAAATTTCGTGAGAGACTGCACAAAAACTACAAGTTAATTCCACTTGACATTTTCGGAAGCAGATACGTGGCAGCGTTATTGTTAAAAGCTTCAATGTCTGCGTAGTTGTGCGGAGAATAATTATTAGTCGATGCTCTTTAACGAGGCGTCTCACTAAACGGCCTACTTGAGACATTTGAACTTTTGTGTTTATGGCCGTCTTCTGTACATTTGAAACTACATTTTCGTGGGTCTGCTTTTCCGCAGAGCACTTGAAAGCGCATCACCGCAGTCTGCGGAAGAAGTTTATTGAACGACGAGACCAGAAACGTGCATAGAACAAAAATATGAGGTCTGCGACGGGACACTAAGCAATACCTTTCGCAAGTATTTTGAGGAGCGTAATTATGACACTAGAGGAATGAGGTATTTCGTCCTTTACCTTGAACGAGACACAAAATGCTAAAAACGCATGAACAAAGCGTGGTAGTCTTGCTGGTGTCTTCAAATTAACTTGTAAAAAAAAGAAAGAGAAAAAAAAAGTTCGACGCTAATTACAATTTTTTTTTTAGTGGTGATCAAAACTTTGTGATGACCGCCACATAATGGGTAACATGATTCTCTATATCATGTTAATTTAATCAAGTTCAGATTGTATGTAGTATGCAATACATTAGACTTCTGGCAAAAATACTGGATCAGCCTGTCTTCGGACAAATTCTTTTTTATTTTAATGTTATGCGATTCTTAAACACATGACTTTGAGTAAAACAAGAAAAGAACGAGGTAAAATCTAGATCTCTTCGTTCTACTTAGATTAATAAACTTAGTAATTCGTTTCCGTGGCCGGATTGCCCTTCGCCCCAATTGATTGCGACTGTAGAACGCAGGCAAAATATATACATCTAGGTCGAGAAACGGGACTATGCAAAACAGTAAATAAATCGAGCCGGTATAAATAGAACGTGATCCGACGGTACGTTAAACACACTGCTATCGGTTCCTCGTGCGGGGAGGAATCAAAGCCGCACTAAAAGCTAAAAGCGTCCATAAAACCAAAGTTCCTTTGCATAAAACCAGGCAATCTCATCGCCCATCTCGACGCCGGCTTGACGCCATCTTGACGCCACGGTTGGGGATGTGGCGATAAATGACCGCAGGGATTCAGAGAGAACACATTACTGCGCTGCAACACGCATCCCGCGCTCGGTTTGTTTCCTTTAGATGCGTAAT